GCTGACATGACATTGTGCACTACTTTTACACGTTTCGTTTTCAATCTCATTCAACAGCTACACCCTGATGCGAGAAGTCCCATTAACTCAACATGTTGTTTGAGGCCACAGCGAAAGGCACCCGACTCATTAGGGAAACATTTAGAAAATGCCAACATTAGAAATGCAAATGTCAAATAAAGGAATTGATTTTGAATCCCTTAACATTTGTAGAGGGGTGGTATCAAAACATTGGTTTTCATTTGCATTCTTCAGAAGTGTGTAATTAGATTATAAAAGCAGGAGACTGGCTCAAACAGGGCACTCTAAATGTTACATTTGTAAGGGCTGGTTGCAAGATTCAGGCACAAAACCAACTGGTTTCATAAAAGTTGAAAGCAAATAGGATTTGCTTAGGAAAGCATTAAGGTACAAGAACAATTCCAGTTTCATGAAGATATTTAATTCTGATGGCTTACAACACAAATGAACAATTTTATAATATCCCTTTTTATACCACAATTCATTGCTTATATTTTGAAAAGTGAGTACGTGGAAGTATTTTTCATGGCTCCATTGTCATATTTTACCACATCAGGGGACTAATAAAAGATAGTAACTTTTTTCATGGGGGGAAAAAAACAACAAAAAATTAAAACTGTACGCAGGAATATTACAAAGAATGAATGATCAATCAATCAATAAGGAGGGGAAAAGGCTCACATTTGGTTCAAAAGCAGCAATACCCTACAGCAGTGGTTCCCAAACTCTTTCTCCTGGGCCCCCAGTGGTTTCCAAACTATTTCTGGGCCCCCCTTATGGATTACAAACAAACAGCTGTCTGCTTGAACGATGTGTGTGAGCAAAGAGGGGGGTGGATTCTCTCCCTGTTATACTCAGCCCCGGCTCCAGACAAATAAGAGGGGGGAAATCAACTTTTTTGGGGACAAAATGAATCGTAGCTGAACATAGACAACACCACCAGTAGCCTAAGCTACTTGTTAACAAACTTAAGGTGCTGTATTGATATTAGCTAGTCATCTTTTAGCTAACTTTACCTGCATCCAACAGCTTTACTCAACAGTCTGTTAGTTTGGGGGGAAAACTGTGAAAAGTTATTTGTGTTTTGCTGGTTTGCTGCCGTGATTCTAACACAAACCTACGTAGCTCCGCACAGCAGCAGCAGGTCTCCTTCACAGGTGGAAACCCAGCGCGAGCGTCGTAGCGCTCATGATGCGTTTAAAGGCGGCTCGGAAAAACAGGTTACAACATGTTAACAACGGATTAAACAGTTTTAACTGCTAATAAAAGTGACAGAGGACACAAATATGGGAAGTGTGGAAGCCCCTATTGTATCAAATTGACAGAGGAATAACAGAGAGTTGACCATTCTAAGTTAAAAACCTAGCGCATACAGCGTTCATGTTTTGTTTTTTTCATCCAGACGGCTTCCCACGCCCCCCCTGCAATGGCATGGCGCCCCCCCTAGGGGGCGCGCCCCACAGTTTGGGAACCTCTGGACTAGAGCACTCCAAACTTTTCTTTTAGCTAGTTAGATTTGGATTTTTTGGTGTACTTTGAATCAT